AACAATGATTCCCAATTGGCAAAGGGATCAGGCAAGGCTGCATATTACCACCCTACCTGTTCAACTTATACGCAGAACATATTGTAAGAAAAGCAGGCTCTCAGACACAGAAGAAGGAGGAGTGAAAACAGGAGGAAGGAATATCAACAATCTAAGATATGCAGATAACACCATAATACTAGCAGAAAACCTCACAGATCTCAAACAACTACTAAGGAAGATCAAGGAAGAAAGTGCAAAGCCAGGCTTACTGTTGAACATAAACAAAATAAAAATAATGACCACAGAGAATCTACATACATTTAACCTACACAATGAAGAAATAGAAATAGTAAAAGACCTGGGATCAAACATTAATAGGAATGGGGACTGCAGCCAGGAAACCAGAAGAATATTAAGAATGGTGGCTATAAAGGAACTAGAAATGATCTTAAAATGCAAAGATATACAATTGAATACAAAAGTTAGAATCATACAAGCTATTGCATTCCCTATTACCATGTATGGAGGTGAGCATTGGACAATTAAGAAAAGGTAAGAGGGGAATAGAAGGCCCTCCTTCCACCATCCTCTTGTCTCAGAAGAGAGAGGCAGGCCAGCTCCATCAGGCCTAGCCAGAATAAGAGGAAAGCCCTCCTTCCAGTCCATTTGCTACAGTCCAGGCCTCAGAGGGAGAGAAGATCTGCTGGACTTGATCCCCTTCCCCACTGCCATTCCCTTCTTTTGTGTCATGTCCTTTTAGATGGTAAGCCTGAGGGCAGGGAACTATTACTCACCCAACCTAAAATAACACTAGACAATGATCCTCCGGGAAGGAAGACCTCCATTATCGCCCGGATTTGCTTTAGTAAATGTAATTGTCAATTTTATTGTTAATGTTAATGTTAATGTTAATTTTATTGCATTTGCAATTTTAATGTTTGTTTTAAGAATTTTTATTGTAATTTTGTCATGTTTTTATTGCCATGTTTTAAACCTTGTTGTTTTATCTCTATTGCTGTACTCCCGCCTCGATCCATTGAGAGAGGCAGGACATACAAATTATTATTATTATTATTATTATTATTATTATTATTATTATTATCGAATCAACAATTTGTAAGCCGCTATGAGAACCTTTTTTGGCTGAAGAGCGGGGGTATAAATAATTCAAATAAACAAACAAACAAATTTGAGATGTAGTGCTGGAGAAGAGTGCTGAGGATCCCATGGACAGCCAAAAGGACAAATGGGTCCTAGATCAGATCAAACCGGAAACCTCCCTGGAAGCCAATATGACCAATTGAGACTGTTGTACTTTGGACACATCATGAGAAGGGTGGACTCTTTGGAAAAAAACAATAATGCTGGGGAAGATGGAGGGAAGTAGAAAGAGAGGAAGGCAATATGCCAAATGGATGGACTCTATTAAGGAGGTCACAGATATGACTTTGTAGGAATTAAGCAGAATGGTGGAGGACAGGGATTCTTAGAGATGTCTCACTGAGTTGAGATCAACTCAAGGGCAGTTAATAACAACAAATACCTGTAAGTTTCTATTGCAGCATTTTGAGTCATCTAGTGATGAGATTTTGGAACAACTTGTCACTGTTGGTGAAAAATAGTTACATCATTATGATCTGGAGACCAAACAACAGCCCTTGCAGTGGCAGCACTTGGATTCTCCATGGCTGAAGAAATTCAAAACTCAGAGGTCAGCAAGAAAGTTCAGAGCCACAGTTTTTTGCAATAAGGAAGGTATTTTGATGATTGAATGTCTTCAGAAGGGCCATAAAGTCAATACAGAATACTGCTCTAATTTGCTGTATCAATTAAAGGAGGCATTGTAGGGAAGCATTGTCTTTTTGCAGGACAATGCACCTTCTCTCAGGACTGGCAAGATGATGGATGTTTTGAAGAAATTGGGGTTTGAGTACACGGACCAGCCACACTACTCACCCAGTCTTGCTCCATCTGACTATTTCCTCTTTCCAAACTTTCAAAAGAATTTGAAAGGAAGGAAATTTTCTAATGATTCAGATGCAATAGCAGCAGCAAGGCAGAATTTCACTGACCAGACATCAGAATTTTTTTTTGTTTGTTTTGTTCTGGAACTGTTAAAGAAACTTGAGAAATGATGTGCCAAGTGCATTGAACACCAGGGTCAATATGTGGAATTGCATATGAGTTTCATGGCACATTCCTTTCTTGGTTGAGCCAAGAATCTTTCAGCACCCTTTCACCTTTATTGGCCATCCAAAATGCACAATTTGTTATGCAAGCTTTTGAGGCTTCACTGGCCTGTGACTTTAACATCCTCACTTTTCCTCTCCAGGCCGCCTTCCAGAAGAAGATATTTTGCCTGGAACTGATACAAGAGGATAGTTAGTGTGAAATTTTGTGGTTGCTTGCATTACCCCCACTAGCCTTGTGCAACTAGGGGCTCATTCCCACTTACATTTAACCCGGTTTGCAATTCGCTTTCACTCCAAGTCAGTGAATCGATTCCAGTCAATGTGTTGTTCCTACTATGAACGCGGATCTTTTCTTTATTCGCTTCTTTTTTTGCACGACTGTCATTCCCACTAGTTTGTGCCCCTTCAAAATGTGATTCAAACAAAGGTGATTCAAACAAAGATACAAGGAATTTTTCAAATACACGATTTGAAAACATATGCCAGAAAACATATGTCTGCACAAGGTGGAATGTTTCATTTCAGCTGTCAGACCTCCTTCGTTGACAGAAATTTAATCAAAACTAATATAATATGTTTTCTGGGACAATTTTTAGTTAGTTAATTTGTTTTAAATAACACTATATGAAAGGTGGATGAAACTCGGGTATATTGTTTACAACCCTTCAGATGGCAATGCCATCAAATGCCTTCCTTGTAGCTCTTGTCTGCCTGTATGACTTCTGCATCAAAACATTATGCTAAAATATCCCATCTGCTGTAATGAAGGTTAACCACAATGAAGTCTATTCAGATATTTATATATGTCTTAATCAGTTCAATAATGCCATAAAATATATTGTTAGGAACTGGAAAGTCTATACACTTGTTCATTTTTTTATAAAAATATATGTGTGTGTGTGTGTGTGTGTGCGTGTGCGCGCGTGTGTGTGCGTGTGCGTGTGCGTGTGTGCCTTCAAGTCATTTCCAATTATGATCACAGGGTTTTCTTGGCTAGATTTGTTCAGGGGAGGGGGCTGCTCTTGCCTTCTTCTGGGGCTGAGAGAATGTGACTTGCCCAAGGTCACCCAGTAGATTTCCATGGCTGAATGGGGATTTGAACTCTGGTCTCCAGAGTCATAATCCAACACTCAAACCATTACATGGTGATACAGCAATGACACATAAGTAGTCACACTGCCTTTGCAGACTGCTAGAAATAGTGCAAATTGAGTCCACTTTAAGGGTTAGGGTTAGTGCTAGGGAATCATGAGAATTGGTGGGTTTTTTTCTGAGACATTGAGCCTTCTCTGTCAGACAGCTCTGGTGCCACAATAAAATACAGTTCCCATGATTCCCTAACCCTAACCCTAACCCTAAAAGTGGACTCAATTTGCACTATTTCTGGTAGTCTGCAAAGGCCTACAGACTATTTTAAAGAATAAAAACTAGCTGATTTGAAGCCCACACAACAACCACCAACACCCAAGTCAAGGAATGCCCCATTGGCACCAAAGCTGGCTTCATGATAGCACCAATGAAACCATGGCTATTTACCAAAGCCATTGGGGCCTGGAAATCTTGCCCACATCTGTCCATGTGCATGGTTTTAAATAGCTTGGTTTTGTTTTAGATGCTGATGTTGTTTTAAATTGTTAAAATGGTTTCATTTGTTTTTTAGGCTTTTTTAGAATTATTTCTTATCATTCTGAATTGTTCTGAATGGAAATCTTGTGATGTAAGTGTAAATACAAATACTTTAATACAGATAAATGATTACCTCTCCATAACTTGTCAACAAGAGTCACCTCTTTATTTGCACTTCTACAAGAAGTGCATTTCTTGTTCAAATGTTGCATTTCTTGTTCAAGTGTTAAACATTTTAGTTTGAAACAAGGTACTCCCAGATAAATATCGTTGTTCTCAAGCTCTTCAGAAGACCAAAAAATCCCAAAGGCAACCCCCCCCAATAACCTCTCCCATATACATTTAAAACCTCTCTCATATAAATTTATTTATATATTGGATTTATATACCTCCTTTCTCTCAAAATGGGATTCAAGGTGACTGTATGGGGCTTATCGCACCACCAAATAACCCAATGGGATACAGTCAGGTTGTGGGATGCAGGCGGGTATTATCGCATGTAAGTTGCTGCCGATGCCACCAGGCGAGTTTAACCCAGCTGCATCCTGGGTCCCAGGCATGTTTCGGAGGCTGCTTTGCAAAGCTGGGAGCTTGCCATCTTTGAAAAGCAGCCTCTGAAGTGTGCCTGGGATCCAGGATGCAGCCAGGTTGCACCCACTCAGCAGAATCGGTGGGGACTTTGGTACTATAATAAGTGCCTGCATCCCGCAAGCTGACTGTATCCCGTTGGGGAGCAGTTGGGCTATTTGTCGGTGCGATAAGCCCCTATGTCAGTCATGGGGTATGGCCTTCTTTGGCAGCCACCATGGGATCATTCTGGTTTAGTTTTTAAAATAACAGCTAGCTTTCATTCTTTCTGGTTGGTTGAATAATTCATACTGAGAGCTTGAAACACTGAAGACTAGACTTTTAGCAATCGTACAGGAAGATTTCTTATTTGGTGCCACTCTCTCCCACCTCCCATACTCCAGATCCTGCTCTTTTGCATCCGTTACCACAATGAGAGTCTTCTCTTCCTATTCCTTTTTGCATAGATTAATGTGAACAAACCATTCCTGATAAAATAAAATACAAAGAATTGTCACCATTATCAAGTATGTAAGCTTAGCAAATGTATGGAAGTAAGCATTTAATCATGTTGAGTTTTTAGTTATATGGCTCAATTAAACCAAATAAAAGATAGTATCAATATGCATGAGAGCCAATGTGGTGCAGTGGTTTGAGTGTTGGACTGTGACGTTGGAGACCAGGGTTCGAATCCCAGCTTGGCTGTGAAACCCACTGGATGATCTTGGGCAAGTCACATTCTCTCAGCCTCAGAGGATACAATAGCAAACCTCCTCTGAACAAATCTTGCCAAGAAAATTTATTATTTATTTCATTTTCATGCCACTTTTCTCCCAAAAAAGGGACCCAAGGCAACTCACAGAATAAAAACATTTTTTAAAAGTTTACAGAATTTTTTTAAAAAAACGGTTAAAATAATCTAATGAAAACAATATAAAATTAACATTAAAAACATATAAAAATTAAAACATAATTAAAACACCACACACACACATAAAACACCCTGTCACAGTAAGAAAACCCCATGATATGTTCGCCTTAGGGGTCACCATAAGTCGGAAACACCTTGAAGGCACACAGTATCAACAATCAATATGTATAAAGAACATCTTGCGAAGATGTGTGTGTTATTTCAGGTAATGACAGCACAGTAGCAGCAATGATTTGGTGTGTTTTTTTGGTTTGGTTTTCTAGTGTTTCTCAGATAATGAAGACTGTTGTACAGTCTCATGTTCGCAAATATAAAAGATCTTTTGCAGCTCTTTGATTTGAAATAAAATTTTATGTGCTGCATTAGCTCAAGATGCTTCATGGTAAGACTGGCTCTGTGTGCCATAACCGATGCATAATTGCCCTTCAAGATGGGCCTTTCACTTCAGTGACATGTTGGCTGCATAGCAATGCACATCCCAAGTTGCAGACTCCAAGATGTATGGTTGCTAATGAGATATGGAAGAGAGAGACCAAAGAGCTCAGTAAACCTGTCATTTCCTTTGTCATCTGTCTGTGATCTCTCTTCTGAGTGATCAGCGATGAATGGAAATATGAAATGACTCTTGCTGTTCCATGGAGGCAATGCAAAGAGACTGGAAAGCCCTGAACCCATAAAGTGACTGTGCACTAGACCTGACATTTGCCAGTTACTTCTAAGTGGATCTATGAACAGAAAAAGTATCTGTTAGGCAGGATATGTTATTCCGAATAGGGAAAATGCTAGATGACTTACTACACTTCTGACTCCATCAGAAAAAAAATTCTTTTGCTTCAGGTTTTTCACATGCCTTTGCAAACAGCAAGTGTTCATATCAGTTATATACTATTATAGTATTTTTATTTAAACATTTATGTACCTTACTTTCATCTGACAGATTATTTGCAGGAATGTACATGAAGCATCTCTGACTCCTGCAATATAATGTGTGGAATGGGAAAATTGAGAGTGGAATTGCCTGGCAATAGTATCCATTTTCCTACCATGGAGGGAAATCACTTAAATTGTTAGGAGTTGTCAGTTCTTTTGCAGCTTTTGCAACAGTACCCAATAATACAGCTTGGATGTAACTAGTTACAAATAATTAGATTTGAGCATTTTGTTAAAAAGATATTTAATTACAAAGTTACTTGTGATTAAATTCTTTCTTCTACTAGCAAAGGCATAACAACATTATATAAAATTGTAATCTAAGTAGGAATGACTTCACACTTTTTGTATTGCTACTGTACCTTTTTTACTTTTTTTACTAGGGGATTACTAAGAAATCTGGTTTCATTAAATAGTAGAGGAGGAAAACTACACAGTTCAAGTGCTGGCTCACACTGCTACTTTGTGCTCTGTTGTTGGTATTGAGATGGTAATGAGGTAGTGATTCCTATTTACACATGAATTGGTTTGTGATCCAAATCTATGGATAGGTTTGACAGTGGAGCATGGTTCACACTACATTTGCCCCGATCGCATTTTCTTGCTGTAAAATAACTCACTTGTGGTTCACATTGACAAATGAACCGATTCAAATTGGACCCGCTTCAGCCAGCCAGAGGGCAAATTTAAATAAATTCCAGTTTGCACCTGGTTCACACTTGTGTGGAATCAATTTATCGAAAAAGATGTGGAAAAAAATCAGAGTCAAAAAGATGCATGTTAAATGGGCTAATGCAAGCCCCCCTCCAAACCACTTCAGTGATTTGGTTCAAGTGCAAACCAAGGTCATTTAAACTGCTTCAAACTAGTTTGCAAACTAGTTTAAAAACTAGTGTGAATGAGGCCAAGGAGAGTGTGTTTTGTAATGTAGGCCAGCGGCTTGTAGCAGTCAGATGGGTGGTTAAAGTAACTGTTAGCTGTTTTTGAACAATGGGAAAGTATAGAGGATTTTTTAAAAAATATATTATACCTGTTAGCACCAACTTACAACTCATTGCTTTTCCAAAGTAGCTTTCTAAGCTCTGATTGAGAAGAGGTTAAATCTGGACCAAAATAATAATTTTTCCTCCTGCCTCAGGTAACTATCCCAAAGATTCCTTTCAGTTGTCAAAGAGGCAGATTCCCTAATGCCTTACATCTTAAGTCTTGAATATTTCTCATGTTTTTCTCTGTCCTCAGTCATGCTCATATGTTCAAGAAAAAAAGGCTTCTGAAAATCAGTTTCATCTAAAAAGAATGGAAATAAATGGCAGGGGGTAGCGTGTCCATCATCTTTTCCTGCCTGACCTCTCGCGAGGCAAGGTTTCATCTATCCCTAGGTGTCATCAAGAGATCATTCTGTAACAGCACCACAAAAAATGAAAAACAAAAACCGCAAAACTCAGTTGTGAAGGGAGGGTCAAGATAGGGGAGGAGATGTGACACCAGTATTATGGAAGAGAAATCTGTTTGCAAATGGTGAGATTACTGCAGAAAGGTGGCAAGGTGCAGTGCAGTTTATCTACAATCAGCAACGCATCTGTAAATGGCTGGAGTGGATTAATGTTGTATAAAGGGGTAGTGCAGAAAGGCCATGAAAGCTTATGCTCAAAATCTCTTCCATCCAGTTAGAATTGCTTCTGGATTTCTTAATGCTTTTTTAAAGATTATAAAAGAAGAAGTAGGTTGAGCTTGTTCATTATATCTAAGTACTGTGTGCTTTATATATAAGCACTATATGTACTGTGTAAGTACTCTTTCAGTCTCAGAGGAAAGTAATGGCCACCCATCTCTGAATGGATCTTGTGGGGGAAAACCCTATGGTAGATTCACTTTAGAGTCACCATAAATTGGAAATGACTTGAGGGCACATAGCAAGATGAGCAACTCCTCCTCCTCAACGATATGTCTGTGTTAGTCTGTAGAATCACTACATAGAGAGATCTTGTAGCACCTTTGAGACTAACTGAAAGAAAGAAGTTGGCAGCACAAGCTATTATTTTTTCCAAAGAGTCCTCCCTTCTCATGATGTGTCCAAAGTACAACATCCTCAGTTGACCATCTTAGCTTCCAGGGAGTTTTCTGGCTTGATCTGCTCTAGGACCCATTTGTTTGTCCTTTTGGCTGTCCATGGGATCCTCAGCACTCTTCTCCAGCACCACATTCTCTCAAATGAGTTGATTTTCTTCCTATCATCTTTCGTAACTGTCCAGCTCTCACATCCATACCTGGTAATAGGGAATACAATGGCTTGTATGATTCTAACTGTTGTGCTGAGTTGTATATCTTTGCATTTTAGAATCATTTCTAATTCTTCCATAGCCACCCTCCCCATTCTTATTGGAATCTACTGTCTGGGGTTTTTTGGTCTGAAACATTGGCTAGACCCTGGGTGGTAAAATGAAGACATTAGGGAGTGGAAAGACAGGACTGGTTAGTACCTCAGTAGGTTGAAATGTGGTGCTAGTAATGTCAAGATTAATCACCAGCCTTATAAATTTAATCTCCATACTGGGAAAGAATATTTTGCCTTTGGTTTTTTGACCTACTTGCCTACCGAAGTGTCAAAAGAAATGGACGTGGATAGAGTCTGGATATAGGATAATTTTGCATATGACAATTAACAAAGTGAACTATTTAAAAAGGGGAATTAAATAAAACATGTGCAGAATGTCTGTTCATAGCTCATTTTATTGTTTCACCCAAAACTCTCCCATCTTATCAGCACTCGGTGTTCAGCAGTGCAGAGAAGTGTGCATGCCATTTGAGGTACTCTTCTTCTTTGGCCACTGAACAACTCAGACATTGTTTGCCTGCTAACCTTGTTCCTTTGTAGTTTCCCAACAGAGAGATAGAAATAGAAACAGATAAACACAAACATAATTTAAGAGATATTCAGAGGGAAACCGGGCAAAACAGTCATTTCCTGTAGTTTTGGATGATAAATAACAAGAGGAGGAGGAATAATAGCAGTAGAGAAAAGCAAAGATATTTTGGACTTTCCCAGATAAATTATCAATTATCTTTGATGTCTTCATCAAAACATTTTTTACTCTTTATTTTTATTTAATAAATCAGAATGCATAAGGAAAGTTGTATGTGAATTCTTGCCCTCATGAAAGCTGTGTGAGTTCTTGACAATCAAGGAATGCATTCTTTTCTTTTTCCACTGAGTTTCTCATTTTTGAAAGTTGGAATTGATCTTGAAATTCATCTGCTCTGACCCTCTGATACTGATTAACCACAGGCTAACCACAGGTAAAATAGTTTTTCTTACTCTTCCTGTACATCTTCTATACAGGGGTTTGGTTACTTTAGTGGTCCTAAAATAAAATGTCTGTACAGGATGTCATTATCTCCTCATGAATCAGAATGAACAAAAGAGCTGACAGGGAAAGACAGCAACTGATTTACTCAAGTACTTTTTGGCCCTATGAAACAGGAAGGATTCAGGTTGTGAATTTCATAGTTTACTGAACTACACCATAACTACACAGAAACTTAGTTAAGACTGAATCATATATAAGGACTGGGGTGAGGACAGAATTGTTGTCATTGTGTCCCTTCAAATCATTTCCAAAATAGGACAACCTTATCATGGGGGCTGAGAGCGTAAGATTTGCACAAGGTCACCCAGTGGCTTCCCAGAGCCAAGGGGGGAAATCGAACCCTGGTCTCCAGAGCCGTAGTCCATTTGCTGTGTGATCTTCCCCTCTTCCTACTTCCCTCCACCTTTCCTAGCATTATTGTATTTTCTAATTAATCTTCTTTTCTCATGATGTGGTCAAAGTACGATAGCCTCAA